CACCTAGCCGCACTTCTGGTGTAAGTCCGAGAGCGATACGTTGATTTTTTGCGGACTGTCCAAAGTGGGATTGGAGCATAACTGTAGGAAATGCTGTAGAAACGTTGGTTGGTTTTAACCGTAATTTGCCAAAACCCCGAAGGCTACGGTCATAGTGAGTCAATAATCGCATCGGAGGGAGACACGTGATCGAATATCAAGTTACTTACCGTCAAAGACGTTGGTTTGAACGGATTACATGAAAGCGGGAGGGAGGGGGGGGGGGGTGAAAGACTCTTTAGCATGAGTTTGGGTGATGAGCTAACCTTGTGATGCAGGGGTCTGCAACCTTTTGCAGCGGCGGGCCGAGTCGTCACGCTACAGACACGAAGAAGGCCGGACGACAAGTCGCGAAGGAAAAAAAAAAAGAAAAAAAAAGGGGGAGGGCGGCTCAAAAGACGCGAGCAACTGAAAGAATAAAACAAACTCCGGACAAGGGAATGTTCATTGTCTTTTGTCCAAAGTTTGTTTTATTCTTTCTGTTGCCAGTCATTGTTACCAACATGCTCTTCAGTTAATGTGAGCTCATTTTATGTCTCAAATTTCTTATTCTTAAGAACCCGAAACTAGTCAACTGGCTAAGGACTCATCTGCTTTTCAGTAAAAAGTAAATGTAACTCAGTTATAACAAACGAATGGAACTGAAATTGAAAAAGGCAGTGAAGAGGTTCTCTGTTCAAGTAGCCAAATGGAAGAGCTCCTTGTTCTTGTGTAACCACATTTGAGGTCAAAACTTGCGTGTTGTTCTCGTGTCTAAGCGGCAAAGTAAGGAGGCGGCGACAGATGATCCAGTTTTATATGCGGTACGCGGGTTGCCGACCCCTCTTCTAGTGGAACGAAGTGACCGCTCGGACACACAAAAGAGAGTCTGGGCAAGAAGGGAGGTGATCCCTTCCTTCTCGAACTGCTTGGGTTATGCTCTCGCCTCTGTAGCATTGGAAAGGGATGTCACGCGTTTTGCCACCCTCGCTCCGACAGGCTCAAGGGGGCTGCAGCGTTTGTTCCTTGCCAAGTCACAGCGAAAGGAAGCATAGCAGCACCTATTTCATGGGTCTTCCAATTCATTGTCACTGGATGGAACACGCCAGCCAGACAAACTCCATGTTCTTGCTCGAGATTTCGTGGAACACCTTTATTAAAACGCAAAAATATAAACTTTAGAAAGTGACTGAAACGTGGTGTAAATGAGGAGCGAGTGCGATGACCTCTGCGCAAGGTCTAACAATGTAACTGCAGCGCACGTGGGCGTCGTGAAAAGTAAAAAAAAAAAAAACGAAATGGCAACAGTTCTTGCATACAAACATTGTGAATGCAAACACCAATGGGCACACATTGAATAAGACGCACTCTTTGTGGTAGAAATTTCATATGGCAGGTATGGAGCAATGAGCAGTCAGACAACTGAGACATTGCAAAGTGGAGGAAGGCATGTTGTCGTGGTTCATGAGGCTTCGATGTCAAGCATTTGTTTGTTACCTTAGCTTCCACATGACACTTGTAAAGAATCCTCATGTGAAATGTCTTCGTCATGTGCCCAATCAGATAGGCCCTTACACTAAGGAACGATATTGTGATTGTGACTTCCTACCAGAACTGCAGGTGGCCACCTATCGTAATAATTTTGATGAAGTAGGCAATGCATCACAACCTTCCCCGAAAATTTGCATCAAATCGCCACAGCCTAACAAACTAGGTTGTTAAGGACCGAATTATGACTATGTAAAATAGAAACAAGTGGCCAATGTCTGTTTAGTCATATGGTTCAGAAGAAGCACTGCATCTAACACCAGGTCTAACCTGACTAGAACGCCTTCACACGTAGACAATAAATGCAGCATAATTCTACAAAAATACCCTGCATCCATCTTTGTGTTGGCAAACCTCCGCCTCATAACGCACCTTAGAACTAAAGAATCGCATGAAAAGGTGGTGACACTGAAAAAGTGAGTATATTTACAGTGACCACAGACAGGGAGCAGCAAGCAAAACCAATTTTTTCTCAACTCAACAAAGATGTCCTCCATCTTCGCAGCTTTTTGTTACTAAAATATCCAGTAGCCTAGAAACTGGAAGTGGCGTAAAAGGAATTCCTTGTACACAGTAGCTTTAAAGGCGACGGTGCTAAAATGACAGCTCACAAGACAGCTGGGAATGAAAGAGACCTCTGGTGAAAACAAGAAATAATAATAGTGGAACACAGAAAAGGCTTCGGCTAATATTATGGAAACCTATATCATTTTGAGCGCACCCACAAAAGCTACCTTCAAACATCATGCATCCTCAACTGGGCCTGGGTGTGCAAGTTTGGCCGTATGTATCAGGACCTCTTAGCCTTGCTCTAATGGGACAGTCCATGTAGCCACTTCAAGCACTTTGTTAGAAAAGGAAAACAGCAAGCCAGGTTTGTAGGTACACTGCCAATTTGGAATGCAGCTTGCTAGTATCACTTTTACCTTCAATCTAAAGCTAATTGAACTGAATTTTGAACTGAACTGAACTTTATTTTCCGCAACATTATGCCGTGGATACCGGACAAAAAGCTACCAAGAGCTAGCTTTGCTGGGTCTGGTGCCCTGGGACGCAGAGGAAATGCATGATTTAAAAACAATCTCATTTAAACATTCCTAAAATATATACGAAATAACTCAACACATTTCATACAAATGCCCATCAAAACAATTAAAAACATTCCGATAAAATTCCCGCAAAACAAATATATCTATCTTAACAAAGGCAAAAAGCGCGCACCGTTTTTTTAATTATACAATGAATATCAATGCGGTTCATGCAAAGGTTGTTGAGCAGTGTACGTAGGTTACGAGCAAGATACTGCAGTGCATAATTTGTACGGAAATAAGTTCCAGAATTCTCTGTGACAAACATTGATGACTGATTCACGTTTAGTCAGGTTTGTTATATCCGTAAAAAAAAGAAAAAAATTGTACTCCAAAGTAGAAAATGCGTAAGCAAATAACAAACGATAGTCATAAACACTGTAAATTTTCATGACGTTGTAGCTCAAAAAGAGTGGGTCGGGAGTCGGGATGTGTGTCGCATTAAACATTTACAATAAAAAGAACCTTTTTTTTTCTGAAGATTGATTAGTTCGTTGATATTATTTTTTGAGGTTGAGCCCCAAACTAAACGGAATAGTTAATCTGGGAGCCAAACAAAGCGTGGTAAATTTGAATCTTAACTCTTGTAGGCAGAGGAGAGCGAGAGGGACCGATAATGTAAGCTACCTTTGCCAGTTTGTAGGTTGGGAATTTTATAGGATGATCTTATTGGATATACTATAAAAAATGACGTCTAGCGTTTTATGATGGCTTAATATTTCAATCTGGCTGCTACCAATTTTATGGGCATAATTAGGATCAATATCTTCCATTTACTGGTTTAAATAAAATCGCTTTCGTTTTTGCCGTAATTATTTCAAGGCCGTTTTGTTTTGACCATAAAAACTTCTCCAAGACCGCATGAAATGTAATTATTCGCTCACCAAAATTCGTCGCAGTATGAAAATAAATCATCTGCATACATTATGAAACGTGAGTGTTGACGGATGTTGACGATGTCATTTATATACACGTTGAACAGAAGTGGGCCAAGCATAACTGTCCTGTGAAACACCAGACTTCAATAATTGAAACGAATAAATATAACCATTTACTAAGACACACTGCTTGCTGTTTTAAGTATAAATGAATAAGTCCTAAAGACTTGCCTCATACACCATAATATTAATGTGTATTATTGAGCGTTGTATGCTTAAGACAATCGAAAGCTTCGCTAAAGTCAATAAAATATCCCAGTGTAAACTCGCTTTGTTTTATATTTCTTAGTTTTGGTCTATATTAGTCTACAGAGCTACATGTCTTAATAGATTTTTAAGATAACAAAGCGCATTCTGTGGACTTCTCCTTCCAGAAACCGAACTGAAAGTCAGTAACTACTGAATGTTTAAAGGATAAGCCCTATAAACGACGCAAAATAATTTTTCTAGAGCTTCAGAAAATATAGATAGTATGCATATATAGGCTTATAATTTGTAACTACATTTTTATCACCTCATTTATGCAAACAGAAACGTTTGCGAGTTTAATGGAATATGGGAACCTGCCAGTTGACAAGGCAAAGTTAAATAAGTATACTAACACTGATGAAGTTACATCAATCACAATTTTATGGGAATTAATGAATTTTGAATGAGCAGCTTTCTATAGACTTTTAAGTCTTTATTAAGGCATTAAGAAGAGTAAAATCATATTCTACATCATATGTGTAGCTGGCGTGAGCCAGATGAGTCCTGATTTAGCAAATAATGCTGACCAAGTCCATCTTGGAGGAGCAGAACAGTTCATCGGGCTAGTAACACCTGTACCAAGCTAGGCCCAACAATTGAACATCTCACATACATTAAAGTTTGTTCATTTTCCCGGTGCACGACCCAACACCTGGCGCCAGGCCTAACACCCGACGCCAAGCCTATGTCCCGACGCAAGGCCTAAGTCCCGATGCCTGGCCTAAGTCCTGACGCCAGGCCTAAGTCCTAACGCCAGGCATAAGTCCTGACGTCAGGCCTAAGTCCTGACGCCAGGCCTTAGCCCCGACGCCGGGCCTAAATCCCGACTCCAGACCCAAGTCCCAACGCCGCATCTATGGCCACATGCTAGCCTAATAATACCAGGCAATGGACCCCAAGACAGCAGACTAAACAGCAGACCAGAAGAAACACATTTTGAGTGATTGCCTAGCCTTTACACCCTGGTGAAAGGACCAAGTTCAAAAGTCAAGCTAATCTCAGACCAATACAGCAATGACCAGAACCCGAAAATATCCCTCATCCTAGAGGAAAGGTACAAAGTAAGAGTCCCAGAACACTGAATGGGGCGCCGGGGGGGGGGGGGGGGGGGGGGGGGGCAGCGACAAAACAAAAAAGTAACCAGACGGGTTTGTGCTTTTCACACGAGGCTCGTCCTGGAGTCCGAGAAGCGCTGGGGTGCCGGGAGAACGGGACTGTAGCTCCGAGGTGGCACATAAATGCCAGGGTAGAGAGATTGAGCCGCAGGCACCATACCAATGGCCGACTTGTTTGCAGCATTTGTCAACTGCTTGTAGAAGGACAGCACCACCACGAAGAAGTAGCACTAGAAATAAAAATAGTTTCTGTTATAACCATTAGCCGGCTAGTGCAACGAACCTGGGAACATGGTTATTTCTTGATATGAATGCAACGTGTTTACCATAATTGTGTATCGAAATTCCCAAAACCCTTCCAGGTCCCCCCTTATCAATAAACCCTATTCAAAATTGTTATATGTTTCATAGATTATGTGCCGCCGCCATCAGTTCGTCATGCAATTGTGAGCACGCATTCGAGAGGTTCTCTTCAACAGCATTCGGAATGTACTGGGATCAAAACGCATTCCACACGGGCGCTGCATCAGTGTTTGGCGCAAACTCGGAACCACTGATCTCTATGACAATTGCTCGATCGCGCATCCCCGCTTGGTGACTGCAGCGCGAGTAAAGCCACCGGACGGCTATCTTGCATGTCGAAAAATCGCGTTCTTGGAGCGTTGCGGAGGCTGCAGGCAGCGTGCTAAAAGACACGTTTTCTATTCGTTCGTTGAGATTCGCCGAGGAAGTTCTTTAAAACCCTGCGTAAGCCGTGAGACTTGCTGTTCAGAACACGTGGAAATTTTACCGGAAGCGCAGTGCCGCAGGAAAAAAGCACAACACGTCGCAAGCAAGTTTCACCGGTCTCGCGTCGTGATCAAAACTTCCTTTGCACGCCGAAGTGCTGGCTGCGTCTCTGTGCCTTCGCACGCTTGGAAACCGATCAAGAATCGACACCGTGTGGATGTGTTTTGCTCGTCCAATGTGCCTGAAGCCGTATGTGCGTCTGAAGCAGCGTTTTGCTTTACTCTGACGACTGTATTTGTAACTTGCTGCACTTGCGGTCCAGAAACGAGCTTGATCAAAGGTCCAGTGTTGACGGAAGAGGGGGGGGGGGGGAGGTAAATATTTTTTTCGTCGTTAGGCAGTTTACAGAATGCCACGCACAACAGCTCCTCATCACTGATCAGTACTGGCTCATTATCAATCAATCAATCAATCAATCAATCAATCAAATTTATTTTACATTATCATGATATAGTGATGTGGGCTGCACAGGTAAAAAGTCAAAACAATTTTGACTTGACAAGGCCTCTGCAGCCTTACAATTGGCGTACGGTAAAAAAAAACAACAGCAACCAGGGAAATCCAAACAACTGTGACATGGGAAAAGGAAACAGTTATATGGTCAACACTTATATACTGTATTTTGCTGATAGAGGAAGAGTTTTGTCCTTATACACAAAGAACGTACGACGGGTCTAGTGACTGGATGTATACAGGAAATAAAATTTATAAAACGGATGTATTTACAGCTCGCAAAAACAATTTACTTTCTATTGGTGAAAACAAAGTTCTAGAATTTCATTTAGATGTAGGTTTTTAATGTTTGACAAATTATGTTTTTCCCCTTTATTTAAAATAGACGGAAGGTTATAGCTTAACATTTAAAACCCATAGTTCGTATGTTTTAATGAAATTTTCCAGCGCTCCCTTTTCCTAACGTCATAAGGTTAAGAAATGGGAGTTAAATTTGAAATACAAGTAAAAATAGTTCATCACATCAAAGGGCAGCCCTATGTCTTGTGAGGAGAGTATAATCATATGGATCAAGAATAGATGTTAAATGCAGCTCTTTAAATAGAGGAGGAGTGTGCGTGTCAAAAGACAAAATTCGTATTATGCGAACAGCCTTTTTTGAAGGATATGTAAATTGTTTAGGTTTGACGGCGTTGTAGTGCTCCACACCATGCTACAGTAATTTAAAAGGGGTGCAAAAAGAGCTTTATTCATAAACAATTTTAAACGACCAGGTAGTATATTTTTAAACTGGTACAATTTGCCAAGCACTTTTGAAAGTTTTTTGAGCTATGAATTGATAATATGATCACTCCAAGACCTGTGGTTGTTAAAATAAACTGAACCTACTTTCTTGCACTTGACGTTTGAGCGCGGCTCGCCTAATTGCGATTGGTCAAAAGGTTGCACACGACTCTATAGGCCGCGCTTCAAGAATTTTCATTCTCGCCGTTTTGTAGTTTTACCTTTGAAAACCCCCTTTGCTCCACAGCGTTGCGCTATTTGCGCTGCCATGTGACCCATTAGAGTACGTTTAGAACATGGCCATGGTTATTAGTGCATAAGAGCAATCGCCGGAACCGCTGGACGATCCAGAACTCCGTGGCCGATATACGATGCAAAGACGTCTACGTGCGACACACCTTCAAAACTTTGCCGCGCGCCGTCGATTCTTTATCGGTATCCAAGCGTGGGCAGGCACAGACACGCAGCACTTCTGCGTGACAACGAAGCTTTGATCACGCCCGGTGAAACTTGCTTTCGACGAGTTGTGCCTTTTTCCTGCGGCACTGCGCTCCCGTAAAAATTTTCACGTGTTTTCAACGGCAAGTCTCACGGCTTACACTGGGTTTTAAAGAACGTCTTCGGCGAATGACGAAGAACGAGTAGAAAACGTGTCTTCAGCACGCGGCCGCCTGCCTCCGCAACGCTCCGAAAATGCCATTTTTCGATACGCAAGATGGCCATCCGGTGGCTTCACTCGCGGGAGCGGGAAGCGCTATCCTGCAATTGTCATAGAGATCGAGACTCGGAACAAGTCACGGGCTTCACGCCGGAAGCGATGAGACCAACTAATGGCAGCTGTGCATAATCTATGCATCATCTCACAGTTTCAGAAAGGATCCATCGATAGAGGAAAAAAGAAGGCGTGAAACTAGAAATATAATGACTAATGTGGTATTGCACTAACAGAAAACATGCATAAGTAGCAAGATGCATTCTACCTTAGGCCACAAAATGTTCGTTAAAGCCGGCATCGTTGGCCCAAGAATGAATTCGAAAGGTTTGTGGTCCACTCTACTAATTTTATGCAGCATCCAGGCTTTTTTTTTATCAGCTGAGCAGATTTTTAAGGTGCTCGTGGGTATGTTTTTTCACTCCCACTATTTCAAAACTATAGAAAACCTCCGATGGGTCCTCGTTTCTTCAGACGCTGCCGAAATTGACCCTGCTGTCTTCAAGACAATGCTAGATATTATTTAGGAATACTGAGCGGACGCTTACGCAGTGTTTTAAGGTAAATAGGGTTTCGGGGTATTTAAGTTTATTTTAGTGAAATTTGGAGGTCATCACTCCAGGTTTAGCTTTGGAAACTTGGCATTTATAGGAGTCACGTTCCGTAATTTTCATAATTCTTCCAACTTGTGACTAAAGAAGAATAATACCTGCACACAAATACACCGAAAGATGCAAAACGTCATTCCTACTGCAAACTTTATTTCCATAAAATATTTTAACAAAAATCAAGTGAGTGTGCAGAGCAGCTGAGTTTAAGGAGTTCCTTTTCCAATGTCCTTCTACTAAGTGCGCCATCTTTTACCACAGTCTCAGGTAATTTTTAACGTAATAAAACATCTGGTATCTGGATTGATTCCATCTTTATGTGGATGGCAAGTTCGTCTGCTTCTTGCGCAGGGGGGTAGCGGTGACGTCAGAACGCCGAGCCCTGATCGGCTGATTGCGACCCCCTATCCGAGCGTCGTCTGCTCCTTTGCAACGTCGTCTGCGTCTCTCTTACCCTTCCTGCGACTTTCGGAAGTGCAGAGGCCAGAGGCCAGGTTCACAAAACGATCTTACGCCAGAAATATGCGTAAGACAAAACTTGAGAACAAATTCGTATTCACGAAACGAAATTTTCGTAAGTTTTGCGCAGGTTACGACGAAATTCTACGACAGCTCCGAAACTGTCTTACGCACTTCGTACGATCAATGCAGCAAGGCGGACAGCGTCGCGGTCGCGACGACCAACGGGCGTTTATTTTTCTACGTGCGCTTCTCACGCGTCCCGACTTCAAGCAGCAAGAAAAAAGCAAAAAGTACTTGAGACAGACCACGACGTACAAGAACGCTGGATCCACAAACAGCCGGGAAAAGCTCACACGGCCACGATTCCACCGACAACGACCAAGCGAGCTTGGCAGATAGGCCTAGCAGGCACTCCGACTCGGCGACCGTCTGCCCACGACCGGTTGGCGTGCTGAATGGAATATGCCCGCGCGACCCTTGTGAACCCTTCCCGTCTTATACTTTGATCGCTGACTTCAATTTTAGATTAAGAGGTCAATCTCTTCCTCTTGTCATCTCCTTGTTTTCCGAGGCAACGGTGACTCGCCGGTAAAAAAGCGGTGAATCTCCGACAGACACAGGAAAGGTAAAGCAGCCATCGCTTTGACTAGCAGACGTAATGCAGACGACGTTAACTGCGCCGACCCGCCGACGCCGTTAAAGAGTGAGGAGTCTCGCCGCACAAGAAAGGCGGGAAAAAGTATTTGGGAGGGAACTTGCGGACACTAATCACCCTCACTCTCGGTTCTTAGCAAACAAACCTCGGCGCCTCCGGACGCCTCGCCAGCGAGTCCTTTGACTTCCCTCCTTGATGCGCGTCTGCTAGTTTTTAGACAAAAACAACGTACCGCTCGAGTTATTTTGTCTGCCCTCTCTGAAAGGCGAAGTCGAGCTCGCTCGACTTCCGAAAGTTGCAGGAAAGGTAAGACGACGCAGACGACGATGCAAAGGAGCAGACGATGCTGAGATAGGGGGTCGCGATCAGCCAATCAGGGCTCGGCGTTCTGACGTCACCGCTACTTCCTTTCTCATGCGCAGAAGACGAAAATGAGCCCACTTGCGAGGCGTATTAAGATGCTACAACCTCCTTCCCATAAGAGGCCGAGGTGCTACAATTGTCTAAACTCGAAATCAGAACAGTGGCTAGGACAATTTCACATACTTCAAGTGCCTTCTTTTGTCTTGAGCTGATGCTGAATTGCCCCTTCGTAAAGGGCACACTCTAAACATTCCTAATATAAACGGCTGCGTAACACCGATGGGACTGGGCGACAGCGTGGGTGCCTGGCAAACTTTGCCCCCCTTTCTTACAGCTATGGTGCATGAAATGAGTCTAACTGGTGCGTTTACTCCGCCCTAAAAAGTGGTCCCTCGATTTTTGCCCGATGACATGATACAGGTGTCAAGCCACCATCCTGGCTTCGTCACTGTACCGAATACTATGGATGTGGCCGACGCTTTTATGCTGCAGATCGCTCTCAAGCCTGACAGTGCACATAAATTTTGTAAGCCAAGAGTTGGGACGTCCCGACGACAGCAACACTTGCGCTCCTCGTGCTTTTTTTTCTTCTAGAAGATTTCCGATTAACCGCCAGAATCACGTCACCTGACATCATGACACTCCGGCTCTTGTGATGCCCTATGTTCCACTCTGGGAACACTTTTGAAGCATGAACGCAATGGCGGAAAAGAATGCTAGAGGCCAGTCGGAGAGTCATTCCAGACACTGTACTACAGCTTTCCGAGACAGATGTCTCAGCCAGTCACGGAGAAACACTCACCCTAGAGCCACTAAATAAGCTGCGCTTAGAGTATCGGCAATCCGTTCCCCGACATTGTTGTGGGCGCTGCCATTTTGGCTCGTATGCAGAACAGACGCAACGGCCGATCGTCATGATTCAAAAGTGCGACTTCCTCAGCATTAGATTTGGTGTTAGGAAGGTCATGTAATACTGCTTTGCTCTGTCGCGAACGGTTTAAACATTTGTGGAGGGCGGAAAAGCATTTCCTGTGATTTCAGATAAAGCTTCAGATAACTGGCAACCATGATTTTAAGCCACAATATGGCCAAGTGTCGTTACTCTGAAGCGTAGCTTATTTAGTGGCACTAACTCACCCTAATGCACAACGAGACAAAGAGAGAGCAGATGATTCCAAGGACCTGGCTGCCATCCTGCAATCCAAGCAGAAATGTTGCGGAACAATTTAGTGCAACAAGGTTGGCAGACACAATTCAGTGAGCATGATGGCATAGATATGTAAGAAATGAAAGTGGGGAGAAAAGAGGGATAAAGACCTGCACATGTCAGCCTTCTTCTCTATTTGTTCCCGTTCTTTCATTTCATAGAGTTCATAATACAATAACAGCGTCATTAAAGGGATACTGACAGGGTATTTATGCTCGCCAAGGTTTTTATTTGTACATAATATATGAGAGCCCAACTACACGTAGCATAATTTTCAGCTAGAAATTCCTTGTCTTTCTGCCTGAAACCCCGTCGATCCAGAACTGGCCGGTTTGAGTCGCGCTCACTCTGCTCTCTGTGATCACGTGCCGTTCTCTATGGTAGTCGCACTGGCAATCCCACTGGGCCCTGGCAACACATACACCAAATATAATAAAAACTGTGGGTTACCGAACGCACTGACTCGATATTAAGGATATAAAAATATATGATACGCGTTTTTTGTGGCTTCTAAGAAACTACAGAAGCGTTTATCGAAAAAAAGAAAAGAAGTTGTCCAGAAAACCTGAAAAAGTCTGCGCACCCTCAGAGTAATTATCAACATGGCGTCGTATCGCGGGAGTCGCCGGCTGGACAGCTGAATGAAGCGGACTAAACGAAGGGGGCGGTCAGCGGGCGTGGGACCTCCACTTCAGAACTATTTTTCGCGGTACCGTTGAATCTGTCTAGCTTCGAAAGAGAAACTGTTTACCAATCAAAACAATTAGGATTTATTCCGTACGACACGCCCGACCACTAAGCAGATTCGCACGAAGATGTCGCCGAGTCGCCGCCCCTTGTCCTGGCTGAAAACCTTGCTCGTTTTACGAACAGGAATTGCTAAAATTTTAAAAACGCGAAAATTGCGTTTCTGTGCAAAGTGCGACGTGCACGTTTTTCGCCTCCTTCAAACAGAAAAAAAAGAAGAAAAAAGCGCTTGGGTGTAGTTACGTGACTTCCGGCAACTCTCTCCTCCTCTACATCTCTTTTTTCTCCCCAGTCAAGTTTTAGTTTCGAGCAGATTCGTTTTACAGCGGAGCTGTTAAGGGCTAGTTTCCCGAGTTTAGTGTCCGGTACCAAACAAATGTCGACACAAAACTACACAAAACTCTGTACAGCTAAGGCCACCTATGAGCGACGGCGGCAGCCAGACAACCAGTCTCGTTGCCGCTGTCGCTCATAGATGGTGGCAACCTTTCCAGCTATCATAGAAGAATGGATAGTCGGGCGAGTTGGTGGGAAGTCATCGCAGGAAACAGCGCGAGAAACAGACGAGGACGAAGAAGAAACACAAGGGACGAGCCATCGTTAGGACGAGCGTACAGCTTCGCTGGTCTTCCTTCTTCACCAAAGTGGAAAGGCTAAATTTCTTTTCTAGCTCAATTAAAATATATTTGCCGCTGTAGCAAGATATTGATTGGGTAGTCTTCTAAAACCATATGAAATCGCCTGGCAAAATGCAAACAAGCATGGGAGGGGGTTATGTCAGTGTCGCTCTGGCGCTGGGTTTTTTGTTTTAGCTGTTTAATCTAAACACACTTGTGGAATACTCAGGCTTTAGGCTCAGGGTATGCTATTTATTATCTCATAAATAAAAATAGCTGTTGAAAAAATAGAAAATTAAAAAGGCCATGGAGCGATTTTTTTCGCATTTATTAAATACTACTCAAAACCACTCCCAACGTTAATAACCGAACAAACTTGCCTTAGTTTTTCTTTCTAAGCAATGGCAGTCGGTAAATATATTCGAAAAATATAACCATCACTCATCGATCCTCAACTCGGAGATGGAACAAGCGGCGACGTGACCTGGTGCCTGTCCTATTCCGCCAACGTTAATCATATATCCACGCGCTGGGGTCGGCGAAGTAGAATAGGCGTGCAGAGCTCCAGGCATTGTTTGAGCTCGGCTATTCTCATCACCGCAGTCGGACACGAGCCACTACCCGAATGTCCACCGAGGCATTGATTGTTACGAGCCGAAGTCGAGTGCTCGCGCAATTATCGTGTCAGATTCATGAGCCGAGCTCGACTGTCGTCAAGCGGGTGGTTTGGATCCCACAATTACGTCATCGAGTCTTGCGAAGGCAATGCTAAAAGAAATAGTCCCTTTTATCCTTGCAATTTCACCACGACTAAGAAGCTTCTATATCAATGATGGTTCGTGCAAGTATACTTGGGACAGACTACAATCTGTACGCCTTTGTAAAAGTATGAACATTTCAACCCGATATCGTTTTTTGACCCCTCAAAGGTTATGTCAAGACCAACATTCAAATTTTCCCTCTCTCTCCAGTGGAGTATCGTCACATGTTGTATAACTTTCAAGTCAAGAAGCCAGTCCAAAAACTGCAGCATTTCTCGCAAAGACAACTTCAACGATGGCACACTTGACAGACCCAAGGCTACAGACAACTCACGTCGCCTACGACCCCAAGCAGCAAGTTGTGAATGGGCCATCGCTGGCAAGTGCACTCTGGCCAACGAGATTTTCAATGGCCCAAGGTTGGTTAAAGTGCTTGGCGTAAGCAGTGTTTTGGTCCTTGTCTGGTGATTGGCCATTCACTTTTGGTAAGTCACTTTCGGTCAGCCACTGGCCATTCACTTTGGGCCAGTCACTGGCCATCAGAGGTGTAGCCAAGGAGGGTGTTCCCGGGTCAGAATATTGCACGTCTCAATGTCCAACGAGACGAAATGTCCTACGGGTAAAAATGTTCAATATTGGACATTTCGACTCGATGGGCATTTCATCTCGTTGGACCTTCGACCTGGATGGAAATTTCTCTCGTTGGACATTTTGACTCGTTGGACATTTTGATCCAATTGGATATTTCGACTCGGTGAACGCTTTGACCCGATGGTTATCTTCACCCGTTGAACATCTACGTCAACGATATATCGTTGACGTAGACTCTGACACTGCATGGTGTTGATACAGACGTCTTTTGATATTCCGAATACTTACATGTGCCCCGGGTTTTCGTTAAAAGGTTTTATTGTTACATTTTAGCAAAAAAAGAAAAAGGAGGACAGGAAGATTAGGTGTACCCACAGAGCGCTGTTTTATGAGACCACTTGCGGAAATTTGACTATCTTTTGTTTTGGGGAGAACAGAATATTTTGAATTCGTGAAAATAAATTCTAATATACGTTGCGGACGCTGGAAGACAGCTAAAATTCATTCCTAGCGGTTGGAAGAAAATGGCAAATTCCAGATTAGTTTTCTGATTAAAAGGTTGTGGGCGATATTTTTTTCAATGAACAAAAGAGGCTTGTTCCTGGTAACGGACGCTATTGATCGTTATGTACTCGCGGGCTTTGTTCACTACCATTTCAGCACTGAAAATTTCCCAGCATTGCCTAAAATGAATCGTCCATTTGCAATCCATGGCCCCGTCGCATTGCCGCGCGTGCGAAGACATTTGCCGAATTCTAGCCAAATTTTTTTTGCCGAATCTTTGCCGAACTTTCCTGTAAACGTTGGACATGTGCCGAACTTTGCCGAATTTGAAGTTCGGCACCTTCGGTCTATCACTACATAAAATCAACACTTCTGGCCAGACCCTTGCCGGCCGTGTTTTTGTCTCCGGCGGCCAAGCTGAAACAGATAGTGGCCGGACCTTTGCCGGCCGTGTCTATGTTTATGTGTCCAAGAACTTGCCAGTGGCGAAGCTGTCCGGATACTGGCCAACCGTTCGACGATCGAAGGTGACCTTTGGGTGCTGCTGGGGACGGTACTGATCATGATGAAAAAAAGGATGGCCAGGACCACGAGGACCATAGCATGAAACACCAGGTAAGGCAGGATGTAGAGTCGCTCATCCTACGAAGATAAAAATAAACAAAACATAAAACATAAAGCAACAAATTTTTTCTTTTTGTATTGGACCTGCTCTCTCAGGGTTACCCCACCGTGCATGACATTTTCATGCTTTTTTGACGGCTTATGACTTTCTTTTTATGTATGTTAGATTTATAAAGTTAATGTCAAATTAAAGAGTTGTTTTTCAACGATACTTTAATGTCTCGATATTACGATTATTTTTAGTGGTTAGTTATTTATTTGGCTTTTAATAGACCGCAGTCTCTAATATTGAAAAAATTATTTCTCGAGTTATAACGTCCCATTATCCACGATATTTTACGTGAGCGTTCGGTTGGATGCAATAAAGTAAAAAATAAACAACGAACTGTACAGATAATGTGTATCTTAAAATAAACAATAAAGTTTAAAATTGTACTTTTTTATGGCGCTCTAAAAACGGAATCACGTCAACTAATTGAAATAACGAGTCATTAAATTATAAAGCATCCTTCGATATTACAATTTCCAGAACTTCCATATTGATATGTTACACGTTAATAATGTTATAAGACCTGAAACTTTTCCCATTGAGTTACGGCAAATTGTAGTTTCTTATTATAAAATACAGATGGCGACACGTGTTCAAGAAGAGCTTGATGTGCATTTTCCGTTGTGTGCCGCTTGGAACGCCACGGGAAAGGCAAAAAAAGCGCCAGATGTCAGGGTGTCAAATGCCTGGATGCTCGCAGTGAGCGAGCCAGATATGTTAGAACAACAAGCGCGAGACTGCTGATGCACCGCAGCTCCTTTTCGCGCGTTCTACTCTGCGTCGGTTCACATGCCGGTCGCGATCCAAATGAAATGGGCGCCATGAAATGCATTCTGCCATTTCAAATTCCGCCAAGTATGCGAAAACATTTTAATGTTTTTATCACTTGCGAAAATCATTTTCGCAATCAAACTATGCTTGTCGGAATGGTTCGAATATCTTTTGTTTCAAAAACCACCTTGGTGGCTCTTAAGTAGCAATGATATTAAAACAAAACACAAAAAATTAAATCGTATCGGTGTCTCTGAGCTAACGCGCTGGCCCATAAATATATATTTGTCGGATTTAAATATCGGCCGAGGTGCCCCCAATCCGACGGAGGCCAATCTGAGATTTCGGTTGCACGTCAAAAGATCTCCAGGGTAGCTAAACTCGTGGAGCAAAACATTCTTCTCTTTCTGACGCAGCGGGGGGAGTGACCAAAAGAACTCCGCAAAGTTTCCTCCTCCCTGCGCGCGCTCAACTTCGCAACTTTTGGGGAAAAATCCCCCGTGATCCCTAGGCGGTGCGGTGCACGAGAGCACGAGACAGCGCGCAACCCCAAGATTTTAGGACACTATCTACTTGCGCCCTCTCTTGGTAGGTGTGGAATATCGCTGAAAAACAGTCGAATCTAGCGATCTGAATAAAATCACGCAAAGTTCCCCCGGAATTATTGAGATCATTGTGATTGATAACATCAGGAAAATTTTCACCACTTTGTTACTCTTTCTCTAGGTTCCTAGGAAATAAGAGTAATTTCCCCCATAGACTGCCATTGAAATCTCGCTTTATTTTTCACGTTCAGTGAGTTAATAAAGCAACCCCTCAATATTTCAATAAGTTCCCGCAGGTATATATTCTAGAAGATTTATGCTATCGAAATGTTCAAGCAGTTTTCATGTATATTAATTATCCCAGGTTCCCAGCGAGATAATTCATTACACCTGTAGCTTGAGCCGCGTAAAGGCATCTTTCCAACAAGAAGAGGAGTGCTACGGGAAAGACTACCTTACACTCGTCAGCAAAGGCGCACTTTTTGGCGATGTGCGCCTTTGCTGGGAACCTACAGAAAATACCTCAGACGTTTGAAAGTTCTTAAAACATGTACCCTGGTAACTGCTCAATAGGATTCCCGGGAACTTTGCGAGAGACGTCTTGGTTGCCGATATACGCAGCGCTGAAGTAGGCTCTTTTGACAAGATCTCTCCCCGAAGGAGTGAACCGCGCATTTTTTGGCGAAGTGCGCCTCCGCTGGGAACCTACAGAGAACGCCTCAGATGTCTGAAAATTCTTAAAACATGTACCCTGGTAACTGTTCAATATGATTCCCGGGGAACTTTGAGAGATGCGTCTTGGTTGCCGAGATACGTAGCACTGAAGTAGGCTCCTTTGACAAGATCTCTCCCCGAAGCAGTGAACCGCGCATTTTTTGGCGAAGTGCGCCTCCGCTGGGGACCTATAGAGAACGCCTCAGACGTCTGAAAATTCTTAAAACATGTACCCTGGTAACTGTTCAATATGATTCCCGGGGAACTTTGGGAGATACGTCTTGGTTGCCGAGATACGTAGCGCTGAAGTAGGCTCCTTTGACAAGCTCTCTCCCCGAAGCAGTGAACCGCGCATTTTTTGGCGGAGTGCGCCTCCGCTGGGAACCTACAGAGAACGGCTCAGACGTCTAAAAAGTATTAAAACATGTACCCTGGTAACTGTTCAATATGATTCCCGGGGAACTTTGGGAGATACGTCTTGGTTGCCGAGATACGTAGCGTTGAAGTAGGCTCCTTTGACAAGCTCTCTCCCCGAAGCAGTGAACCGCGCATTTTTTGGCGAAGTGCGCCTCCGCTGGGAACGTACAGAGAACGCCCCAGACGTCTGAAAATTTTTAAAACATGTACCCTGGTAACTGTTCAATATGATTCCCGGGGAACTTTGCGAAATACGTCTTGGTTGCTGAGGTACGTGGCACTGAAGTAGGCTCCTTTGACAAGATCTCTTTCCGAAGCAGTGAACCACGCATTTTTTGGCAAAGTGCGCCTCCACTGGGAACCTACAGAGAACGCCTCAGACGTCTGAAAATTCTTAAAACATGTACCCTGGTAACTGTTCATTATCATTCCCTGGGAACTTTGCGAGATACGTCTTGGTTTCCGAGATACGTAGCGCTGAAGTAGGCACCTTGGACAAGATCTCTCCCTGAAGCAGTGAACCGCGCATTTTTTGGCGAAGTGCGCCACCGCTGGGAACCTACAGAGAACGGCTCATACGTCTGAAAATTCTTAAAACATGTACCCTGGTAACTGTTCAATATGATTCCCGGGGAACTTTGCGAGATACGCCTTGGTTGCTGAGGTACGTGACACTGAAGTTGCCTACGTTTATGGAAATGATCAAACCGCTGAGTGTTTTGCCAAGGTACGGCTCAGCTGAGAACCTGTGGAAAAATTGCAAAGTCTTGGTCATGGTGACAAAGCTGAAGGGCACAGAATGTTCGTGCGCAAAGATTGGCGAAGATTGACATATTATGTGTCAATGGACGCAGAAATACGGGTTCGAGAGTAAATGGATCTGTCGCCCTTTCTCACTTCGTGCTGGCCGAGAGGAGAGGGACGAAGGCTTCTTTGTATTTACCTCAGGTCGAAAGATAATCGTAAATATAAACAAAAGTGGTTTAGAGGGAGCTTGATCTAGGTCACCTCGACACAATAGTCTATTCACTTGCTGAGTCAGCGCCCACAAACATGGGCGCCACACGATAAAGCAACGCTTTTATTCGAGAGCTCTCTAAGAAATAAAAGAAGGCAAAGCAAACTCGCCGATCGGATAACCGCTTTTGCCTTCAGCGGTCATGCTTGTCTGTAGTGAGTCGACATTAAAAGACGCAGTGGACATGCCTGCGGCCAGGGGACGCTCGTCTTCTAGCCATGTACTCTCGAACCAATATTTCTGCGTCCATTGTTGTGGAAGCTTTGCGTGGTAGGACGTCATGCTTTGCGTTGTTGGCGTTAAGTATTGCGTGGTGGGATGTTAGGCTTTATTTGGTACTTTATGCTTCTAAAGTGTAGTATTATTATCTAGTGTGGGAGGTCCGATGTTTCTCTGCAACTGCATACACAAATAAAATGTCAATCTTTGCCAATCTTTGCGCGCGCACATTTTATGCCTTTCAGCTTTGTCAGCATGACCAAGACTTTGCAATTTTTTTCTTTCGCTCTCGGCATGTTCGTACACGTTCCGCGTTGGTTTGAGATGCTGGAACTGGCGGAGGCCCGCCTTCCTGCTTTTCCCTCTCAAGCTTCTTCCATCTGCTCTACTTCCACATACATTCGGCATTCGTCTGCCTCGTAGGAGCCCCAGCAGTGCAACGTATTGGACTCCAGCTGCTCTTTATATAGGCTGAAAGGTCGGAGCACTGCAGTCGATTTTGCCTTATATTGCCGCGCGCTCGGTTACTCGGTTCTAGAAGATTCGCGTCTATAGGGTATATTCACTTGCTGAGTCATCACCCACAAACATGGCCGCCCAGCGATAAAGCGGAACTTGTATTCGTGAGCTTGGTGAAAAATAAAAGAAGGCAAAGCAAACTCGCCTATCGGAAAACCGTTATGGCCTTCGGCGCCCATGCTTGTGTGTAGTGACTCGACATTCAAAGGCGGTCTGATGTCATGTGAATAGACTCTTTCTCCGGGCGTAGCGTCTATCATTTCGTTCCCTTTCCTGGTTTTGGAAAGTTCCAACTCATTCTCACCCCGCACGCCCGACGCTCCAAGCTTCCGCGCCGAATGTTCGAGATGACGTTGTCACGCTTGATAAGGAGCCACGCGTGACCTCGTCGAGCCAGTCTTGCTCTCCCTCGCTCTGACGCCGCAACTCGCCGCCGCGTAACCGCGTACTGCTGTTCCGACGCCCCTTATTTCTTTCGTTCTGTTGGCACAAGTTCGCCCCATTAAACTTTCAGTTTAAACGTGACCTTCGCCGCCTCATCGTTTGCCCTTCGCGACAATATGGTGATAACGTGATATCAGGCGACATGTGACTTGATTCAACGCTTTAACGTATAGAGCGTATTCATATGACGTCAGACTGTCTTTTAATGTCCAGTCACTACACACCAGCATGGCCGCCGAAGGCAAAAGCGGTTACCCGATTGGCGGGTTTGCTTTGCCGTTTTTATTTTTCTCAAAGCTCACTGCTAGCTTTATTGTTTGGT